AGCTCAGCATGAAAAGAGCTTTCCTGGAGCATTTCAGTTCTTGGTAGTGCAACTGAAGCAAACAATCAACTATGGGTTAGGCACTGTCAAAAGATCTCCGGGAGAAAGTTGTGGACAAGCAGAAGTCAGGAGATGAATACAAAATAAAAATAATTATTCAAAGGCTTTATCAATGCCTAGAAGCACAGTGACGTCTATTATTAAGAAGTGGAAGGTATTTGGTTTAACACAGACCCTCCCTGGATCAGGACGTCGCTCCAAACTGGATGAAAGAGCCAGGAGGAAACTGGTCAGAGAGGCTACCAGGAGGCCTACAGCAACTCTGAAGCAGTTGCAGGAATTTATGACAAAGAGTGGTCATTGTGTGCATGTGACAACAATATCACAAATTCTCCACAAATGTGGCTTGAATGGGAGGGTTGAAGAAAAAAGCCACTCCTCAAGAAAGGCCATATGCGGTCATGACTGAGCTTTGCCAAAACGCACCTTGAAGATTCTGAGGCAGATGAGACTAAAATTGAATTATTTGGCCTCAATACCAAACGTTATGTCTGGTGGAAAACCAATACAGCTCACCATCCAAATAACAGCATTCCTACAGGAAAGCATGAGGTGGTAATATCCTGTTATGGGGTGTTTCTCTGCAGCAGGGTCTGGAGCACTTGTCAGGATAGAAGGAAAAATGGATGGGGCAAAATACTGTCTAATTCTTGAGGAAAATCTGCTGCCCTCTGCCAGAAAGTTGTCAGTGGGAAAAAGGTTTACCTTCCAACATTTTGTTTGTACCCACTGTAATTTTTTTGCAGTGTAACATCATTACATTTTACTTGAATAGATGAATGCAGATAGCAAAATGCACTTCCATTTACACCTTTATTAAATGTGGTCAGAATTCATCATAGACCCAACCTCTACATGTGCTGACAAAGTCCATTTCACACTTTCAAGAGCCAGGCACTGGTAAAACATCTACTATTCTTTAGGGTCATTCTGTGTCAAATCAACAAATTTCACAAACTTTCTTTGCTAAAATGTTTGATTTTGTTTATATTTTTCTGAAGAAAGGCAAACAAAAATAGTAATGAAAGTCAAAATATTAAAAGTCATGAATTAATATTTACTGAGTAATTCATTTTGAAGAGGGGATTTTCTCCTGAGATCTGAAGCCAAATTAAAGGGTGTATTTGGTTTTCACCCTTGAAAATCGGTCAAATTTGGACATGGAGTCACATTGAGATACCCATAGCTCTGGGATTGAACCATATATGGCCTTAAAAATTAAGATTACAAAAGAAAAGTGATTTGAGAACCAAAATCAAAATTTTTAGCTACTGTTGCTTCCAAATAGTTTTAGTCAGAATACACTGTCTTTGAATAGCTGTCAAAAGAGAAGGATTTTTGCTCCCATAAGGAATTAAAACCAGCAGGGACGAACTGGATCATGCTAACCAACCCCATTTCATATTGTTAGTAATTTACATAAGAATATACAACATACATTTACAAAACATTGACTCTATGAGTATTTGGAATAGTTGCCTATGTAATGCATCTCATCTTCTTAATTGGATTTGTTTTAATCTAGGTCAGTTTCAGCTGTGTTATTAATCTAGTGAGTTGTGTGTTTCAGGAGGAAGATCAATGTTCTAACCTTGTTTTCTAAACAGGGTATAAACTTCTGTCCTGGCAAGGAGGTTCCTGGTGTGACCACACACACGCAAGAGGAACACACCATGCAACCACTCATCTTCCATCTGGAACAGGACCCTGGGGAGAGATACCCAATCAGGTAAGGTGTTGAAGATTGGACACCAGATGTCAAGAACCAAACTATTAAATATGAATTCAGTGCCTTAAAGTATAGTTCACCCAAAAATGAAAATTACCCCATGATTTACTCACAATCAAGCCATCCTTGGTATATATGACTTTCTTCTTTCAGGCGAATACAATCGGAGTTATATAAAAAAAATGTCCTGGCTCTTCTAAGCTTTATAATGGCAGTGAATGGTGGTCGAGATTTTGAAGCAAAATAAAGTGCATCCATCCATCATAAAAAGTACTCCACACGGCTCTGGGGGGTGAATAAAGGCCTTCTGAAGTGAATTGATGCATTTGTGTAAGAAAAATATCCATATTTAAAACTTTATAAACTGTAATCTCTAGCTTCCGCTGTCGTACGCGCATTCACGGGAGAGAGAACAAAAATTAATCCAAATAGATTCACATATAAATCCCTTCACAGAAATGTAAACCTGTTTTCAAAATTAGTTTGTTCAAAATGAATAATTCAGTCTCAAGTTATTCACAACTTTGTGAATATGGCTGAAATCAATGAACAACTGAATTGTTCGTAACTCAGTCTCTCCTATGTGACTCCTATGTGATCGAATCCTTCCCAAGAACAGTGAACCCGGTGTATATGCTGTTAGTTCAATTTCCTACCGTCCAAATCGGCAACGACAATGTCAGTTTCACGCAATCACGACTCTCTGTTAGGTCCGTGTGGCTCGCCAGTCCCGACTCCCTCCGCGAACACGGGAGTTAGAACGAAATCCAGGAATCCAGGAACTCCACTCCGGGAAGCATCGGTTCAACGCGGCATCGATTCAGCAGTTCACAGCATGCACTCGATCGGACAACGATGATATCAAATCAAGAAAAAAAATTAAAGAAAATGGGGGGGGGAACCTGACCTTGAATACAAGGTCACAAAATCACCATTAGTATTCTTTCCATATCATACACATCATGTCTGTTACTACCGTTTAACACAGCATCAAAATGACAATCACATTTCGCATACGAACGTGCAAACACATTCGGCACATTATTTTACATCACACATTGGCAATTAAATGAACTTCAAATACAGCTTTCCCGTTTATATTTCACTTGTATGCACATTTAATGAACTTTTCACCCAAATTAATAAATTATATAAAAGTTTTAACTCACCAAGACTCGATGAACTTGAACAATTTTATCCCTTTTATGTCTGAAAAACTTCGTTACATCTTGATATTTTGCTTATCCGTCTTGTAGAAATTAAATTCCATTTATATGGCTTTTTCTTTACCAAAATATCTTGCTATGCGATAACGAGGCCTTATCAACTGCGTCACAATGGCCTTAACTGCGTCACAAATTATAAATCAATTTAACAGTCTCTTTTTCACATCAACCTTGATTTCTTTGTTCGCTACTTCATCTCTAAACACATATAACTTTAATTTTAATCAAATATCACTACTTGACTCATTAAATTCTCAGATTTCTCGGGAGAGATCTAAATTGCGTCTGCTCTCTTCCACTCCGCCGATCAAAGAGAGCGTGAGCTCGTGCAAGATCCGGAAACTGAAAATGCTTATACAACATACTAAATCCTCATTGGTCAGTCTTTCCAATACAAAATAATTCAATTGGCTATTTATATGCCCATTAAAACAATATAAAAAACATAAAAGTGAAAAGAGAAAAAAATAATATCTTCATTCATTCATCTCATTTAATCATGTTTTAATGCTACTAGTAACCTGGGTTACATACGTACTACGTCATCCGCTGGACGCCACTCTCTCGTGAACGCGCGTATGGCAGTTAGCAGAAGCTAGAGATTACTGTTTATAAAGTTGTAAATATGGATACTTTTCTTACACAAACGCATCGCTTCACTTCAGAAGGCCTCTATTAACCTCCGGAGCTGAGTGGAGCTCTTTTTATGATGGATGGATGCACTTTATTTGGATTGCGTCAAAATCTCGACCACCGTTCACTGTCATTATAAAGCTTGGAAGAGCAAGGACATTTTTTAATATAACTCCAATTGTATTCGTCTGAAAGAAAAAAGTCATATACACCTAGGATGGCTTGAGGGTGAGTAAATCATGAGGTAATTTTCATTTTTGAGTGAACTATCCCTTTAAAGTCTGCATGAAATCATAATTTACTAAATTAATTTTTTTAGTGCCCATTGCTAGTCTTGAGGTGAACAATGTATCCGTGCAAGTTAATCCACTGAAAAAAAAAATAATTCTTGGTAATCTTTAATCAAAATCTGAACATTTGCTTCCACTCTGGAATGGCATTACTTCTCTGATGATGTCAGTTTGATGGCTTGGGCAGAATATGTTTAACCACGCCCCTACAACCGTTAGTTTGCTGCGAGTAAAACAGATAAGAGCGCTAAAGTAAAACCCCACCCTTTATTTAATATTCGGTTTCAGTTGGAAGCAGCTTCCCTGGACTTTAAACAAAATGCACCAATATTTCATTTTTTTTATGGAAAATAACCACTGTGAAAAAAAAGATGCATCACAATTATTTCTCAAATGATTCTGCATTAATGCACAAAAATTAATGATATTTTAATTGTATTACAGGACTCCAGACAGAAAAAAATAATAATTTAAGGAGCCAATGGCTCCCATAAGAAACAAAATTAGGCGCCAAATTATTTTTTTAAGTGCCACAGAATTAAGTAAAAGTTAAGTAAAAATATGAATATGCAAAATAGCACATTATATTTAGCAAAATGCTCCTCTTTATAGTTATTTTTTTCTAGGGGGGATTTCCCCCTCGGCCTGTTTGACACGAAGACACACAATAAAAACGTTCAACTCGGACACGCAGACGGTTGTCGTGGTAATAAACACCGTAAACAGCAGCTGTTCGTGTGTCTGCGCTTAATGCGCATCTTGTATATGAAAAGCATTTTAGGGGCCCTGGCTTTTGGGGGCCCAAGGCAGTCGCCTAACTTTGCTTAATCAGAATCAGAATCAGAATGAGCTTTATTGCCAGGTATGTTTTCACATACGAGGAATTTGTTTTCATGACAGAAGCTTCCGCAGTGCAACAGAATGACAGCGACAGAACAAAAACACATATAATAAAAGAAGAATGAAAAAATACAAATAGAACAAGTAAATAAGGCATAACAATATATAAAATGGGTAAGTCCCCAGATAGCACAGGTACGTCGCGGGGACGTCTGTGCGATGTGTAACAGAATGACAGCGACAGAACAAAAACACATATAATAAAAGAAGAATGAAAAAATAAAAATAGAACAAGTAAATAAGGAATAACAATATATAAAATGGGTAAGTCCGCCCTGGATATGATAGGTTGATGACCGCTTGAACTGAGGCACTACAGCGATCGCTCATGCCACATTAAAGAGCGCCAAAACGCTATTTATTGTTTGAATGTCGTTACGAATTTGGCAGAATTTTATAGCTGATACTTTGTTTATTAAAAGGCAACAGAGCACAAAGCTTATTGTGATTATTGGACGGCAAGTGCGCTACAAATAATATGAAGTTCACACATGAACAGAACACAGCGTAGACTGAAGATCTTGATAACAAGGAGCCTTATTAGAATCGATTATAAACGAGAATTGTTAACGATATTGTTAATGTCCACACAACTGACAGCTTTACTTGTTGTAGTTTGTTCAAGTTGTGCGAAATAGACACTGCTTTTCTGCACTTTTACTGCGCACATCTCCGTCGTTTTCAATCTCTCTCATGCTGCCACAACTGGAGAATCTTTTAGCAGGTGTTCGGCAGAGATGAGGACTGTTTGAAAGTGTTTTTTTTCCTTCTTTTTTTCTCCCCACTAAAACGTTGATGGCATCGTCTCAGTTTATTATGTCAACATAACAAAAGATGTGATCGCAAAACAAGCAGGAAAAAAAGGCATTGCATACAAATTTTTTAGTCATAACATGAAAATTTATTTAATCGCCAGTGGCGTTCTCAACAAAAATATCACTCACAAATTAATATTTTTGGTCGCGAATGCGGCAATCTTAGTGTGGAGCCCAATATTAATAATTTTGTTATTAAACAAATAACATTAATAGCAATATTAAACTTTACAGACACAGGTAAATGCCATTGTGCAAAAGTGGTCAAATTACATTGAAATGTTTTGGTATCATGACTAACATGCAAATTGTTGCTCTCTTCTTGCTGTCAGTTCCAAACCAAGAACCTTTGAGTTTGAGCAAATATCAAGCTTCCACATCATTTGAAAAGGGCATATTTCGCATGTTTTGTACCTTTATGCCAGTAATGAAACATTGCAGTGCTGGAAAATAATGGTGGTCACACAAAATATTGACACTTTGGGCCCAATTTGGACATTTTCACTTAGGGATGTACTCACTTTTGATTCTATTACCAAGGTGTGCGTCAAGGGTTGTAAAGTATTAAGAACAAAGTTTTCATTTATAACATCAGCATGTGTTTTTTTTCTGTGCTGATATGACCTACCTTTATTTTGATTTGTTTCTGTTTGTTTCTTCAGTAAGATTAGCCTTTGCCCCCTCAAGCCATCTTTCACTCAAGCCACTCTCGTTCTTTATCTTTCTGTCTTCATCTGTCCTCATCCTTCTCTCTATCTCTGTGTTTTTTTCTCTCTGTCCAGCACACACACGCGTATCGCTGTCTCCGTCTTTATCATGCACTGGGTGTTTTAGGGGGCCTACACTAAAGAATAGAGAGAGCTGCGAATCCATTGCTCTCAACAGAGATGCTGGATTGCAAGACACACAGAGGAAAATCACAAGTGTTTCTGAAAGTGATGCTTCACATGTGACAAAATAATCTGAATATTTTTACTTCTGCTGCATTGCACTCTGAGGTATTTCAGACTGGTGGGTCCAGCTTTCAGAAATCTAATTCACTGTTCTCGTTTCATTTCAAGTTGACCCAGATTTTTCCACAACTGCCAAACATAACTTACACATTACACTTCTTCATTTTATGTGCATAATTTTCG